TCCATGAATCCTGCCATGTAAACCCTGGAAGTGATATAATTACCATTTTCAGGTTTCCTATTCTGTAACAGAGAATGTGATTTTTATCATCAGTGTAAGGGTTAGAACTATTTTAAACTGAGAATTGATTCACAGAACTCTGATCATCCCTCTTTTATCCACGGAGTATATACACAACAACTGGAGCTCACAGCATGGTCGCAGCCTTGCAGAATTCTAGATTCCATGTTTGCATTTCTCCACCTTCATGAGCCAGAAGACGCAAAGATGCAAAATCCACTTCACTAAAGAGGAACTAGGAGATAATGTCTTCTTTTGAAGTGTGATCAGGATTTTGTAAACATACAACCATAATGTACAAAACATTTAAATATTCTAAATGGAATGCAGAGACTTTCAGATTGCGCCCTGTCTTTAATTGTCAAATAGGAAGCTTCCTGCACATGCTGTGTTGCAGAAGGAAAAAAATTGGTTAGATTGTCAGAACACCTCTTAAGATGGAGAGCTTTGTGAGCAGCAGATGGGGTATAACAAGGCATCTGATAGCCACAAGCCCTTATAGATTCTGATAGTCTACATGAAATGTATTGCTATTTTCTTAAATAAATTTGTAGCAGCAATACAGCTGACATTGCTCAAACCAGTAAGAATCAACACAAAGCTATCACAAGCACTGGTGTCTTTTCCTTAGGATCCCTTTCCTTGAACATTTGACTCAAGACTACCACAAACTGCAGGAAGTGACAGGGTTTAATTTCTCCCCTTCCCCACCCAAATCAACAAAAGATGTGCAATGCTTCCTCACAAGAGAGTTTCCCCTCTCCCAGTTACAGGGTACAGTGACTTTCATCTTCCTTACACATTTTCTCTCAGTAGGGAACATGGCCAGAGACCTTTCATGGCCAAAGCTTGACAAATATACTGTACCTTGTCCAACAAATCTAAGCATTATCCTACCCAACCCTTCCACTTGCCAAGCTGACCATAGGTTTTGGAAGGTGTTGTCCAAAAGAGTAATTTTTACAAGCTTTAGTAGTGGATCCAGGACTGGATGCTGACACTAAGAATGTCTGGGTATGGATTAAATATACATACGTTTTAGAAACAAACAAGGAAGTGGTAGAATTTTGTTCTTTGCATGTTAGAAGACTAGAGGACCATTTCTAAGTAATTGTTTACGGGATCTAGATAATGTTGGCACAATATGGGTGGGGGCAGATTATGCATCAGCCAGAGAACCCTTGAATACTGTGATATTATGAATATTTTAGCATCAGCCATGAAACACAGTTTTGAGAGTTAGCATTTTTATCCTTTCAGCACTTGACCCTGAAGAGGAGCAGTGATTGCCTTCTTCCCCGATCCTAATCCTGGTTGCTCACTGCACAAGCAAGCACTTGGCATTCTGTGGGAGGGAATGGAAGGGTGGGAAGAGAAAGAACTGCATGCAAATTTCATTTCTGAGGCACTGGCGCTGTTTCAAGTGCCAGGAGCCTCGGAGCCCCTTCTCGGCATTACATATGTAACAGCCTCATTGAACTTGACATGTCAAATTCAGGCCATTTGTGCAAAATCTCCCTTTAATAATACCGTTTCATTTCACTCAAATGAGACTTGAATGCATGTAAAATGGAAAAGGATATTTAAGCACTAACATTAGGCAGATGTCTTGCCAGAGGCCGATTGAATATATGAGATTTTGAAGTGGTTAACACGATTTCGCTGCTCCCTCTTAGAATATGTCACCTGCTGGGCGTTTTCCCTCCTCCTTTTTTCCTTTTTAAGTGAAGGATATAAATTGAAAGAAAACAAAACTACAAGCTTCGGCTTGGAGGGGATTAACTCTGTCCACGCTGGCATGTTCTTCTGAAAAGCAAACTAGTTTCTGTCTTACCTGTTCTAGGCAATTTAGAATATCTCTACAGACTGGCTATAGAAATAAAGGCAGCAGCATTCTGTGGTAAGGGAGGTACGTACTAGATACTGCTGTTAAACTAAAAGTATCACACAAAATCCATGGAACTTATGTAAAGTCCCTGCACTGACAAGACTCCTGCAGTTTAGCCCACCCTTGTCGATGTCTGTCCAGGCAAAAGAGGGTACAACCACTGAATAAGAAAAGGCAGAACTGTGGCAAAAGCCCATTGGTTCATAAACAACATGGCTAAAGAAGCCAGAGAGATAGTGGTGACATGCCTCAGGACCAAATGAAAAAGAAAAAAAGTAAATGGCTAATAGTTGTTGTGGGTTTTTCGGGCTTCTTGGCTGTGTTCTGAAGGTGGTTTTTCCTAACGTTTCGCCAGTCTCTGTGGCCGGCATCTTCAGAGGACAGCACAAAACCACCTTCAGAACACGGCCAAGAAGCCCGAAAAACCCACAACAACCATTAGATCCCAGCTGTGAAAGCCTTCGCGAATAAATGGCTAATAGTTGCCCATATTTGACATAGCTAAAGCTTGCCACTTTGGAATGATAACCTGTTTTGAAGAGCCACAAACTATGAAATAATTGGTGTTTTTCAGGAAACAATGGAATTAAAATTCTTCTGTGCAATGATTCAAAACTAAAATTTCATTCCAGCACCCTTTTGAGAGGACAATATGGCCTGGTGCAATCTTTACACTGTGACTAGAGTAAGCTGTTTTCCTCCTCCTTGACAACAGGAGAGTTTTTTTAATGCAAATGTTTATTCAAATAATGAATGTAACTGGCCTTAAAAAAGACTTTGTCTCTTTGGCAAGCCCAATTCTCAGCCTTTCTCAGAGTGATTTTCTCATATCACACTGATAAGTAACAGCTGCCGGGCCATTTTGGTAATGATTGGAATTTGGCAAGGAGGTATTGTTGCAGTCCTGTACTCTACCCTACCACATTTATAAGCCTACATTTTATTTTCACATTTATTAGCTTATTTGAGGATTGCTCTTAGCTTCCCTTTCTCATTACAGATGGCTTTTGCCACCTACATTCTTTCTGTGTAGAGAACCACATGCCAGAAAGATGGGGCTACCGTCTTGGTAAAAATTTTTTAAAAAGAGAGCGTATTTCTCTCTCTTCCCATCCCCCACTGCTATGGGATTTATGCTAAAGATGGACACGTTCATGTCAGGGATTGTGTTTATCTATCATGTTCCATGAAAGAGAGCACTGAACCTCAGTTCCCACGAGGCACAAAAGCAACCTGACATTTTAGGTGGCTTGCTCCCATTGCCAGGTTGGGGTAGGATGTGCTTGCAGGCTGTTGATTAGCCCCTGGAGCCCGGTCTGTTGAGGAGACTGAGTGTTATCTATTGCAGCATGGTAGGAGTCATTAGTTAATAATTAATAAAGACCCCCGCCATTGCTCTTCCCCACGCACAAAGCTGGAGCAGGCGAGTGCGAGGAGTGAGCTGTCTCCTCCTTTAACTGCCGTGGTTATTTAAAGGAATAATGCCATTCTTTTTCATTTGTCAGCTGGCCCACAATGGCCCTTGTCAGCCTTTATGATTTAGTGTTTCCTTTCCTTTCCCATTAAACACCCCTCCCCACTTCCAGCCTCATGCCAGCCACAGGCTGCTCTCGGCCAGCTCCTCTCCAAGACTAGCCTCGTTCTTTCCACAAGCTCCTCTGAGCACTAATTGCTTCTGTTCATTTAAACCTGTTCGTTAATTTGCTGTGGCCCTTTATTAAGTTGGATGCAGCCCAAATTACACCATAAATTATGCGCACAAGGGAACTGGGTGTCGCGTGGGATAAATGGCTTGGCTGTTGCCTTCCAGCCCCCTTCCTTTCCTCCCATCCAAGCACTGGCAGATTCTGGCTCCATACTGGATACCACATGGGCAATGGATTTGGGAGGTCTTGGTCCAGTCGGAATTCAGTAGGCCCCTCTTTATCCTGTGTAAATGTGCTTCTTACACCTGTGCCCAATAAGCCCCCTTGTTACACTGATTGAGAAAACACCCCAGGCTCAGCTGGGCTTTCTTTCCAAACCTGGGGGGTGGTCTGTTTAGGCACTGGGTTGTCCAAAACCTAGTTGTTCCCTGCTTCCTTGCTGTTCCCAGCCACCTGATGACATCACCTCACTGCCAACGGCAGCATGATCTCTTTCTTCACCTTTTAATGACCGGGGAATTCATTAATAATTGAAATAAACACACTCTCTCCCAGGCTGCAGTTTTATTAAGGGAAGGCCAGGGATCTGCCAACCCTTGGCTGCAGTGATTTCCTAAATAACTGCTAGCAGTTAAAATGCAATTAATTTTTTTAAAAAGCAGAGTACTTTTGCTGTGCTGGTGAAAGTAGCAGGCAACTGAGAGGCAGCCTCAGGGCAGGTGGCAGCCTCAGGGTATGGGGTTGGTGGGCTCCATCTTTGTGTCCGTATACTTAACCTCTTCTGTGCTGTATTGGTGAGATGCTTGGGGAAAGCCTTATAGTTATTTACAGGTGCCTCTCAAATTTGGAATCTAGAGAGATGGCAATTCCTTCTCGCCAAGCTTTTTGGAAGTGTTTGTGTGCCTGCTTGAGTATATCACCCAAAATTTACTTTTTAAGGCAAGGGATGCTGAAAAAATAGTCTAGAAAGGGGGAAGGGGCAAGAACACTAGCTTTTCAATCTACACCACTCCCCAATCCCTGAGTTACTGGTTAAGAGCTAAAATGCATCTTGAAAATGAGGAGCCAAAATATAGGTTGGGCACTGCAGTGCAAAAGAATAGGTGAATGAACTCACCACCATGTAAAGCTCTGGACAGCAATGCTGACAAAGCTAAAGAGAGAAGCTGTTCTCAAAGATAACAGCACGCACTTCTAAGAAGGGAACACAATCCATTTTATAATTTGAAATCATTGGACTTTTCACCCAGCTACAGTACATTAGAACCATTTTACAGATTCGTCAGATAATATACACACTATAGCGGCTACAAAGGGAAAAGCCACAGGCTAGCTGGTTCTTGGAGTTATGCACTGATGCCTCTAATAGGAGAAAGACTAGTGAGGAAGGAGGTAGGTTTTGTTACCTGATGTTCAGCTGTGTTAACTTCTCCAGTTCTTGTTCCATGTGCTCTTGCAGCTCACCTGGACGAAGCAAGACTTGGCAAATAGGACAGATGGGAGCCTGGCTGTCAAAAAGTGTTGCCTTCTTCTTGCCTGTAAGGAAACCGAGGATACAGTATTCAGTTTTAGGCACTCTCAGATCCATTAACTAGAGACTTCTTATCACTCTTACAGTTTGGAGATAAAAGCATTTATTTTGGAAACGACAACAATCACCATAAATATCTATAGCAAACTTGCTGTGGCCAGTGCCAGGCTCCACCTATTGGTTAGTCTGAATGCTGCCCCCTGTATCCGTTTCAGAAACGGTCCCTTGGCTCCATCACCACTGGCTAAGCTCATCAGAGCTTCCTGTTTACTCCAAGAATGCTACAGTAGCTGGTCAAAATCAGAAGCAGTGCTGTGAATATCCAAATCAGTAAATTCTACGAAACTCTGAATTACCACTGAAACACTGCCCCATGCATCAGAGCACAACAGAACCTAAGTGAACAGTAGGCAAAAGTTTAGACTTTGACATTTAAGGTCTGTTTCAAAGACTTTCCCCTCTCTTTTCAAGAGATTGTAGAAAATACAGCACAGAGCTAACATACAACCAAGTTGCCATAAACAACAGACAGTCACCTAGCTACAAGCATTAACTCCACAGCTGTGTTTGCTGCTCTGGTCGTCAGAGGGCGTTGCACACCCAGATCTGGTGGCTGCTATAAAAGGAAGCATGGTTTATAGTTTCCTATTGTCATCTAATGTGCAGCACTCTTGCTGGATTATTTATTTATGTATTAGACATGATCAAATTGGTTAAATCTGTGCGAGAGGCAGCAATGCAACATAAAGCAGGCAGTGTGCGGTATGGCCTTCCAATCCAAAGTCAAAAGGTGCCATTTTATGGCCCCAGGCAAAAAACAGAGCCCATTTAAACAAATCGCCTTGAAAGGAAGAGATCTTCCAAAAGAATACAATGTTGGCACAGGCATTTTACTGGGGGAGTACATAAGTGGGTGTGTGATGTTGTTTAAATACAGAGGAGGGCAATGACTGAACTAGGTTTGAAAATACCCTTGACTCATCCTTGTCTTCAGATTACACATTAGGCAATGCTTCAGAATTGCCTTTTGCCACCACATAATACATGCAACCAAGTGGACCGTAGAAACCTTTATGAAAACCAAGGTTCCATTCCGCTCTGTACGCACAGGTCAATGAATTCAGGAATCCTAATTCTAGACTTTTCCTAATGAAATCGAGCAAACAGGATGACTGCCCTATAGTTACAAAACAGTGTTTCAATTGTTACATTTCTAGAAGAAAAGAACTTCTATTACAAGGGGAGAATAGAAGGCATCCTTCCCCAACTTTTCTCTAGCAATTACTGCACTGTTACCTTCCTTCTACAAAAGAAAGCTTGGGGGGGGAGGCATCTGCTCAAATTCCCAGCCCTGAGTCCACACCCACCTGCTATAATCCTGGCCCGTTAAGTCATGGATGTGAAAGGAAGTTAGTGGACTTTCTCTCTCTTGATTCACCACCACCTCCGCCCCCAACTGCTGGTACTTTTTAATAACAGCCAGACCTAAACAGTCTTCCTATTTTGACTGGGAGGGTGAGCATTCCCAGCTTCCTCTTGGAATATTTCCACTTTTGTGTGGTCAAGGTCCAAAATAACCCCAGAAAGTTCTCCTCTGCTTGCTATTTATAACCATGGTCCCATTAGTGTAACAATGCTGATGTCTGAGCCCCCCCTCCCAAAACAAACAGGCAGCCTTTGAGCAAACGGGAAATCCTGCTGGATCCCTGCTGCGGTCTGCATGCTTGGACGGGTAAACATTCAGGGTGATCTTGCTGTCCCCTTCCCACAACACTACACGGGCATGAAATGCTTACTTGGGCTGCTTTGCTATCACTTAGCACTAGATGTGACCTAGAGCCACCATACCACAATTAAGTCAACGTTGTCCAATTGTCTTCTGTTCCAGCTTCTTCTGATGGCAATTTCTTCCTTGGTTCTTTGCTATAGGTAACTTAATAAATGGAGGGGTGTTTTTCGTTTCTTTGGGAGGGATTGTTTTTTTAAAACACACAAACCGATGCTAAGCCTCTCCCCCTTTAAGTAGAGCTTTCAATAGATGTGCCAAAAGCAAAATTAATTTCCAACAAGCTGATTATCAGATAACCAGTAGAGGGCCCTATTAAAACAAATTTAGTTACAATTACTGAACTCCAAATGAAATAAAATAATTATAATTAGGCACTGTCAAGTCAATTAAGAGTTATGGTAACCACTTCCAGGATTTTCTAAGTATAGCACATTTGTAAGTGATTTACTAGCCCCTTTTTCTGAGAGGTGAATCTGGGACCAGGTAGCCTGCCCAAGGCCACACAGGTTATCCTACAAGGCACACTGGGCAATCCTGAACCCTGTTTCCACAGCCAGGTGCTCTGACTCATGGACCTAACTGGAATAGGTAAAGGTAAAGGTTCCCCTTGACAATTTGTCCAGTCGTGTTCTATTCTAGGGGGCGGTGCTCATCCCCGTTTCCAAGCCACAGAGCCAGTGTTTGTCTGAAGACAATCTTCCGTGGTCACGTGGCCAGTGTGACTTAGACATGGAACGCTGTTACCTTCCCACCGAGGTGGTCCCTATTTATCTACTCGCATTTGCATGCTTTCGAACCACTAGGTTGGCGGGAGCTGGGACAAGTGACAGGCGCTCACTCCGTCACATGGATTCGATCTTACAGATGAAGATTTACAGACCTTACAGCACAGAGGCTTCTGCAGTTTAACCCACAGCACCACCACATTCTGGAATAGGAACCCATAAAATTGCCCACCATCTTTGACCTTATATCTAAACTACATCAACATCATTTAATGTGCATGACACTGGGAGGAAAATATTGACATTAACTCCATATATGAAACACGACCCATTTCAAGTGGTTATTTTAACCATGCCATTTATAGGGGTTTCCACAATGACGATAGTTATGCAAGTCAAATCTGCTCCTTCCACAGATACCTCACTTAGTAGACTCTTCTTCTTCTTCCCAGATTATGCCTGTTCAGAGTGTCCATGAAAATGAGAAGGCAGTTGAGAGTGCAAGTACAGTACCAAGCAGCCAACCATAGTGCCTGGTCTGTGCCAAGTCTGAATATACCCTTATATGCCATGGGCTTCCACACCCCCATATTTCAGCCACAGCTGCAGCAGCCGAACGACCCCTTTCAGGCTTTGTTTTTGGCAGCTGTGTTTGTGTTTGCTTGGCTTCTCTGCCTGTCTTCCCTCTCCCTTTGGCCCCTTGTAACTCAGCAGGGTTCATATCCAGTGTTTACCCTCCTTGGCATGGCTGTTCTCTCCCCTGTAGCCCTTGGCTTGCTAATGCTGCGAAGATGAAAAGGGCCAGCCATCTCCCACTCCTGTGTGTGCAGACTCCCCTGGTCTCCAAAGAACTGCTTCGGTTTAAGTGTCTGAAACTAAATATTTCCTGTGCAGAAAAAAGGAAGGGTATCAACACTCAAACCACAAAATTAGTACTGTGAAATAATGCCTTACTGCATCATAGTCTAGGTGGGTCTAGGTCTAAGTATACCTGCTATTTTTGAACAGAATGCATTGTTCTCACATCACTGTAAATTAAATAATTTTTCACTTTTTCAGTATATCCTATGTATGTGAATGTGTCTAAAGCTGTCTCAGGCAGCAGGAAAACATTTGTAGGGCCAGTCATCTTGATGCTGCTTTTCCTTCTTCCCGCTATCTCAGGAAGCCAAACTTGTGACCAGATTAAGGCACAGCACATCGTGCAGATACACATAATTTCACACATTCTAAAATTACTCCCCTATTGGAAGTGCATGCTGGATTAGCAATATACACCTTCCATGTAGAGAAGGTACGATACCTCTACACACACTTTGTTTGCAACGCCCCCCGTTCGCCTGAGGGGGTTATGCATCTGCTTCTTGAACATACACTAACACCCCAATTTATAGGAGGTACTCCATATTGAACCAGTATCAGTGGGTGCAGACTGCAACTCAGAAAAATTCTTCAGTGTCACAACTTGGATTTCAACAACAGTAGACACTCTTTTGCCCACCCTACTTTGTCTTCTGTTTTTAAGGTGCCAGTTATCTTCCAGCACTTCTTTCCATTCCTTGCCGTATCAGGACAGACAAGGGGCATCAGAGGTACAGGTACAAGCAATGCAGTATCTTTTTGGACATCCTAGGTTTTGATGGCAATGGAGATAACAATCTGCTGTGTTCATGCACAGCTTGAAAGGCAGTGCTCCAAGACAAGGATGGAAACAGATTTGTAGGCACTTTGCATACTAGCAATCTGCTAGGCAATGTTTTGTGACAACATACCCTTAATTTTCAGTAACGAAGGCTGTTTCCCAGTCAAACAACAAAGCAAATCAATTTTGTTCTCACTCGCTCTCATTTCATAAGCATGTGTCTGACCTAACAAATCTAACCAAACCATTTACTCTGAAACGCCCTGGAATAAACGAGCAGCTCCTCTCTCCATACCAGAAACCTGTTGCCTGACAGGCTGCACAGGAGCCCAGTGGCAGAAACATAATAGAAATGCTGACACAGCCTCCGGGCCTGTAATCAAGCGTCTGAAGTTTCCAAAGTGATTATTCTCCCATTGGTGATGGGCCCTGCTGTTATTTCTGTGCTGATAGCAGGTATCTGCTGTGACAAGCCGTTTTTTCTTCCAGTTCAGAAAACAATCATACTGAGAAAAGCCAGACATTAGCTTTCAAGCAACTGAGTACTGGTTCTGCACCTTGAGAGCGAGGCACTGGTCAGTCTGTGGTTGTAAAGAGGATCTAGGCTGGGGTTTTTTATTTTTACTCTAGGCGTTTTATTCATGCCCTTTAACTAAGTTGTTTACTCCTTCCTTTGGGATCTGATACGCTCATCCAGGCAACTAGCCCTGTGAAGATAAAAGATACCCTGGGCTAAGGGATAGGTTGAGAAGAGGGCCAACCAACTAGTATATTGACCAGACAATTCAATATCAGTATAAATCTCTTGGTACCTTCTTCCTTGGGCAAAATTTCTTTATCTGACAACCA